GTGAAGCTAGAGGATGAACACTAACGTTTTTCCACTCAAAAGTTAAGTTGAGGGTTCCAGATGGTTAGGGACAAAAGAAATCGCATGGCAGGATGTTATAAACAGACCAAACTTCAGTCAGGAGAACAACTGAGATAATTGATCCACAATACGAGGTTAGTCATTAATTTACTGCTGCATGAGCTGGGCTGTAGTTACTACGTATGGTTTTAAAAACAGAGCTTTAAAACGAATAGCGGTAATAAAAACCAAGAGAGGAAGACAGTGATCACTGACTGTTTTTAGGACTTGTTGAGATTAAATAGGACAAGATACAATCATTTTGACATCTATGATTATTATTCCTTACATTGAGGTAAAAATAATTATTCTTTCACTGATAAATTAGCAAACTGCAGCAAAAAAAGTAGACAAATGCTTAGGAGGACTTGACAGCGCTAGTTGTGGGCTGCCAAGCTACATGTAGTTACATCTCCAGTGAAGTGCATAGTGTAGGTTATGTCGTAGGGTTTCCATGGGTTTGCGTATCTACACCAGTGACTTGAGACAGAAGCATAAATCCTTGTAAGGCAAAAGTAATGTAACAAATAGTATAACAAATTATTTTCTTCAGAGAGATGTATTATGTATGGAGAAACCTTTTTTCTAATTGCTGCATAGTGGACAGCTTTCTGTATTGAGCAAAAAGAAACTCATCTCATCGATCAGCGGATATTACAGTCACACTGTAGTTAGGACCATTTTATATATGCTCTGGTCAAAAGCTAACATGCAATCATTATGGGGATGAAATTCATGATAAATTTGAGCTTTTAATGATTTCCTTGAACGCTACTTTTTCCAGGGTGCAATGACTGCACAGCATACATCTTTAAGGACTTTAGAAAACAAAAGCTGGGTGAACAAGTCTGAATTAATTTTGGATTTTCTCTAATCCACACAGGGTCAGAAGTATACATACATCCCCACATGGTTAAATGTCACCTTAGGAAGGTGCACATTTAACCAGATGTTTTTGGTAGGCATCAACAAGATTCTGGTATAATTCTGGCTAAATATTTGATCCCTCTTTTTGGAAGAATTAAGATAAGATAAGATAACCTTTATTAGTCCCACACGAGTTGATTTAAATTGATTGGTTTCCTGGCACTGACCCGGCTTTTAGGCATACTCCACAGATTTTCATTAGGGCTGAGGTTTATCTTTGGGAAGGCTATTCTAGCAGCTTCATGTTCACCTCCTTTATCTATCCCAAACCATTTTTGATCCGTGTTTGGGATCATTGTCCTATTGGAAAACCCAACTGTGTCCAAGTTTCAACTGTCTAGCAGTTGGTTTGAGGTGACATTGAAGAATTTGTAGATAAACCTCCGTCATTATTATTACATTATTACCAGTACCACTGGCAGCAAAACAGCCCCAAAGCATGATGCTACCACCGCTACCGTGATTGACAGATGTTAGTGTTCCTAGGCTGGAATGCGTCACCTTTAAGGCCCCAGTACAGGGCTTTGGAGCGTGATGTCACGGGGGTGGGCGTGGACAGGATTTTGGCCTGATGCGCCATTTTCCGGGTCCAAATAAAGCGCAAGCGAAAAAGGACCGAAGGCACACACAACAGCCAGGATTCGTACTTGCTGTGTGGTTGGCTGCAATGTTCGATCGCTGGAATAAGCTTAAAAAGGGTTTGTCTTTTTATTCTTTCCCAACCTGGAAGCAACATGAGGGAGCTTATATGGTGGACCTTACAAAACGAAGGCGTCTAGCCTGGATAGCAGCCGTGAGACGAGCTGTTATCCAGTTCGCTTCCATCTCCAGATATCTGTTGGTGTGCTCCAGACATTTTCACTCCGGTAAGTTCTATATATGTACATATCACTCTTTATAGCTTAATAATATTATTGTTGGGGCTCTCGGAGGTTATAGAAATTGCGAACAAACATAGAATTGAGTGACTGTGCAGACATACGTGCTATGTAACGATTCGCTAATTATTTCGCACAACTGTAGGGAAGCCTGCCTATGAAATGGATCAAACAAATCCAGACTGGGTACCAACGTTACACAGGGGGCACTCCGAAATCCGAACGTGAGGGTTAGGGTTAGGGTTAACAAGATAAGTGAAGATATCGGGGTAGGACAGTGGCGGTAAGTTGTCTGGGTCTTTACTCCACTGCCGTATTTCATATAGGTCCACATTTGCGGTGCACTCTATTTTTTTCAAGTACCGCTGCTTCACCTCTGGACGCAATCGGTCTCTATACCGTCTGTTTTCTTTTGAGCTGCTTTTAAGCATGTTTCTTGTTGTCGTTGTTCCAACACAGTGTGTTTGTTTTGATTTGTGGACCCGGAAAATGGCGCCGCGCTCCCACAATATATTGCGGCGTGACGTCAACTCCAAAGCCCTATACTTGCCACCAGAACATTGTCACACACTCACTTGTTTTTATACGTGCTGATGCAGTATTCTCCTGAACACTAGGTGTCGCCACTCAGACGATAGCGCATCACATGAGAACTGATATAGGAGAAGAAGTACATTGAGTGTTTTTTCCACAAACTCTCAAGTGTTGACTCTCAAACTGTTCCACCATCTCCCTCTGTATATCTATACGCCTCTGAGCTTCTGTACTGGAATATTAATATGGCAGTAAAAACCAGCACGACTGCAGACTATTGTCTTTAACCCAGTTGTGGCACCCACAGCACAACGCACCATGTTAAAAAAATTGAGATGTGCATGACCAGCCATAGCGCCACAGGATGTGATGTCAAATCTGGTGAGTGACACACAGGACAGAGCAAGCATAATGGCGCATTACTCCTCTAAACATACTTGCTGTCATTGTAGCTAAATCTTTATTTCATTTGATCATAAAGTTTTTCTCCAGAAGCCATTTCACTTGCCCGTGACCCTAATACGAATATGCCAAAGAGACTGGATGGATGACATTTGGCTTGTCCATGTGAGTAGCTGCAAACTTTAGTCAAGCTTGAAGGCGTCGATTTTGCGGCAGGGGCTTCATTTTTGCTCAGTACCCGGTCACTTAACAGCGATGTAAAACTCATTTCAGTATAGGACACTGCTGTTCCAGAAGTTTCCAGTTCACGGCAGCCTTGAGCCCTGGTGGTTCCTGGGTTGTCCCTGAACATCCTAGCCAATTTCCTATCAGCTGAGGGTGATAGTTTGGCCTTTCTCACTATTCTGAGTATTGGTCAGTCCAATAAGTACTGTCAAACAAATCTTTTTTTTCCTTTGCAAAGGGAAACTGCTAGCTGTAGTGAATAGTGATCATTAACAAGTTAACAGACCATGATCTTGTCAATTTAACACTGTAAACCTTCACTTATTAAAAGGTGTAAGTAAATGTATGTATATAATATTTAAACCTGTATGGATACTTTTGTGTGTGTGTGTGTGTGTGTGTGTGTGTGTGTGTGTGTGTGTGTATTGGAGAAAATCCAAAATAGATTCAAAGTTGTGCAACCAATTCTTGTTTTTTTAAAGTCCTTAAAGATGTATGCTGTAAAACCATTCCACGTTGGAAAAAGAACTATTCAAAAAACTCGTTAAAAGCCCCATGACAATCATGCCATGATAAGTACATGTAAACTTCGGACCACAATTGAATGCATGTTAGTGCACCTTTTTAAGCACATATCATCGATTTCGCAATCATGCAAACAAATAACAAAGCACTTGGCGCATCATGCTTACAAAGACTCTTTTTAAAGCCTGCTGTGGTATTTTCCTACAGGGGACCCATAGTTTGGATTTGCTGTATCTGCAAATCACCGTTACAAATACTCTTCGTGATTATTGAGCCCAATTTGCAGAAAAAGGAGCACAACAAAAATGTAGAAATAAATAGAAAAATATATTTCGCTTAAAATGACCATACTGGCTACTCAACATAAATAAGTTTCCGTCATGTATGGAAAAAAATACAGCACACCAAGGAGCTAACGGGATGAGGGAAAATGTCCGTAGCTACAGAGCGGGGAGTAAGCTAGCACCGGGCGCTAGTTAGTGAGTTTGTGTTGTATAAAGTGGTGAGTTTAAGCTGGGTTACCTCTCGCTGACCAGTACCACGTCGGCATCGCTCCAGTGTTTGAACACACACGGTAGGATCTTCCTGAAGGCGAAGAAGAGACCGGGGAAAACTACGGCGCCACACGCTAAAACTTGCAACATCCTGCTCATATTTTCCTCTCTAGCCGCCCGGACACCTGACTCTCTCTCTCCCCTCCGCGAGCTTCGACCGTTTACACGCGGCTGTGAGGCATTTTTCACGCGGCCGGGTTCGGCGTCTTTCACCGGGAACAGTCCACCATCAGCACACACTCGCACATACTCACACACTCACACATACTCCGCCAAGGCTCAGCAGCAGCAGCAGCACCAGTGTTGAGCTAACGGCAAACAGACGTCAACTACCCGTGGAGACTTTCAAAATAAAAGGCGTGACCTGCGTGTTTCCCCTAGCGGAAGCGGTAATATCGCAACACAAACCCCACTAGGCTTTTATTTTGAAGGTCATTCTTTTCGCAGCATTTACGGTAAATTTAACAACTTGGAATTTAACAGTGTTTTATTAAAATTGCGGCTTGTGTTTTCAGCTTAACTTAAATATAGATATTAATGCCTTTGCAGCTGTTGTGTATGTGTTATAGCACATAGACGAACTACCTCCTTTAGCGAAAGTAGTCATACAACAAAATCAGTAGTTGCGTAAGCAGGCATTCAATTTTTTGTTTCTCCACTTGGGGGCAGTGCAAGTGTTATATCATCACCAAGTTTGTGTGACGGATGTGTTATGGAGCACTTGTCAGCAGATAGAGCTAAATTATCAGTAAGTAAGAGACGGGTGTAGTATTCGCCCTCGGCTGAGCGACTGAGTAAAGCCATGTGTGGCATTTAAATTGTCCTCTGTGCTCAGCAGCTCGTCAGTAATTTGTTGCTGCTGAAAGCAGCCTTCTGCCATTGGAAATAAGGGGTTATGTAAATGATGAAAATCCTTCAACAGCAAATTAAAAGAGGTTAAAGAGCCATGGGGCTTAGAAAGAGAGATAGAGAGAAAACCTTCCGCCAATGAATTAACACCGGTGACTCTGTCTCTGTATCTGTCCACCTCTCATCTGAGGTCATCAGTCTCAGATACTGCTATCAGCTGTCAAGTAAACACTCTCTTTAAAGTCAGTTAACCTGACTTCGCTCAGCTCTGTCAGGTAGTGTCTGATAGCTGCTTGTAGAGTTTCTGGCATTGAGATTTTATCTACTCCTTTATTTCTGTGTGTTTAACTAGTGCAAACAGTGGTGGCGCTTTTTCTTTTTAAATTTGTTATTCAGTCCTGTGAAAAAGCGATTTAAAGATGTGCTTTTCTGTGTTACTGAGCACAGAACAGTAAGCTTTTCCTGTATGTGTTTTTTTCTATATATATTTTTGCTTTTATTTTGACAATGAGCTCGTCTGTATATGAATAAGGGGATATAATTGGTGTTTTCTTCTAACTCTGGTATTTTTTTTAATCAATTTTGAGCAAAAACCCATTAATGTACTCTCTAATACATATCTTTTTAATATAATATCCTCTATTAAAGTGCCTTTTTCTTTGTTAAAACCTATTTAGTTGAGCAGGTTTTATCATTATTTCCTAATAGTGGGTCCTAATGTTGGCTTCAGGTCAACATGGTAAAGAAATGTGTAATAAATAGAGAAACAGAGCATTGTTTATTGCATATTTGAATACTAGCATGGAGGGTCCGGGAATGAGCTTAGGATATCTCAAAAGGAAAAAAAGGAATTCAGTTTGAGCACAAGGTAAAGGGTCATTATCTGAATGCAAATATCAGATGGTAGCTGCTTTCCTTATCACTGTCATAGACACATAATATACCCCCCCCCCCCCCCTCCTATAAAATACTAATTTCCATATTTGCCACACCTAAATTCACCGTCCTTGGACATTCCACAAAGTGGATGGAACTGTTAAAAATGTAACCATTTTATTTGCAAGAAAAACAAAGTGCGGGCCATGATTCAATACCCTGCAGAACCACTTTTAGATGATCAAATTCTTGAATATATTGTTTTCTGCATGACTTTTTCTCTCACATTGTTGTGGGGAAATTTGGGTGGCTTCAGTTCACTGAGGTTTGCAAGTATTTGTTTATGCAATACTTGGTCAATGCATCACCTTGACTCTTTTCTTTTTCCTGTTTGGGATCATTGTCCTGTTGCATGAACCAGTTTTAAGCAATCTTTAGCTGTCAGACAGACGGCCTCACATCTGACTCTAGAATACTTTGGTGTACAGAGGTCCATTCAATGACTACAAGGTGCCCAGATCCTGTGGCTCCCTCCACCACCGTGTTTATGCTGTGGTGATCATAATCCCTGTGGATATGCTGTGTTTGATTGTGATTATGGCCAAACCTCTCCACTTTGGTCTGCACAGGTGACATTGTTCCAGGAGAGGTGTGATTATCTTGCTGCCATCTTATTTTAAGAGAGAAAAGGCTTTCCCCTGGCAACTCTTTTAAACAAGCCATGCTTGCTCAGTCTTGTTCTAATCGTACTGTCATGAATTATAATATTTAACATGGTAACTGAGGCCACTAGGGTCTGAGGTGTAGCTCTTTGGTTTTTAGCAGTTTCTTAGAGAATTACACGGTCTGACTTTAGGATGAATTTGCTGGGACATCCACTCCTGGGAGGATTGTGACCGTCAAACTCCCCAAACCTTTTATGTGGGTAGTCTCATTAGCTAACGATCATTAAATCATGTGCATGTGTTTAGCAGCACCTTGATCTCTTAACTCCATTTGGAACAGTAAGACCATGCTTTTACAATCCTGCACAGGTACCTGTGAAATTCTTTTCACATGATTAACTATATTTTCCACATGATCCACACACCAGCTAGTATTGATCAGGCTATAATAGGTGCATTCATTGGCATGAATGTCAGTAGAATAGAATTCAGATTAATCTAATTAAACCCTAAAATTAAAACGTGATGGCGTTATGAGGGACAGAGGAACTCACAAACAAGATGCCAAAGCAACAGTGCTTGAGATGATAGATTAATAATAAAAGATAATCACTATCTGACAGTTATATACAAGTAATCAGTAAAATAGCAGACTTGCTATGAAGTATCAGATAAACAGAAAAATGTCAGAGTTTCTAAAACCCACAGGTTGCATCTTTAAAAAGCTCCACCATGACAACACGCCTGTGATTCCTTATTGTAAATGTGACCATTTTGAGATGTTTCATTTCCTCTGAAAATGTGTAACGATGAATAAAAAGTGAAGAAATCTAAAGTGTAAAGTCTAAAGTGTGCGTGTGGCTGCCGGATGAGTGTTTGATTGTTTCAGAAACAGGCATGACCTTTGTCAGAGACACTAAAGATCTTTGAAGGGAGTGTAATGTGTAAACCACATCTGTCCTGAAAGGAGCCATAAATGCTATCGGAATTCCGCGAAGGGGTAATAGGGCTACGTACAATATATTATTGATCATTTTGAGAATACAGTTGAAATTTCGAGATACAATTAGAAATATTAGTTGGCAATATTTGTAGATGACTTAGTTAAATCGTACTTCAGTATCAGCTTAGGTAACAGGAAATGGATTTCTCTTGGCCTGGCTTGTGCAAAATAAAGTGGCTGGCGATTGGTTACACCCTCGTGCAGCAATGAGGATGTACGCCGTATCACAATGCACGATAAGACGGCGGATCAACTCATTTCACTAACTCATCTACACGAGGCTATTTTGTAGCAGGTGTAGGAGCTGCGGCAGTTGTTCGACTTGACATGACAAGTCGTCATGTCATGGCAATACTATTACAGTACTGTTATAGTATTTTGAGTATAATCTTGAAATTTCAACTTTAATCTCAAAATGAATATTCTTTTTCTTAATGTAGCCCTAAGACTCCATTGTAGCCTTTTCTCTAGAAAACAAGAGAAGAGAAAATCTGGGAGGCAAAGAAAATCTAAAAACTGTTGAAACTTTACCGTGCTGTGTCCTATTTGCTGTCCCGTAAGCGGATAGTAAATAGTTTTATAGGGGTAGCGGTAAATGTGTCTTGATCTTATTTCTTAGACCACCGTTATCGCTGAGTGACATCAAAATACTCAGAATTCACTCACAGAATCGGTGGAGTGTACCAGTGCCACATCAGGACAGATGCTGATGTCATTTGAGAGGGGATGGGTGAAACAGTGTAGATTAGGCCATGTGCAGACTTGTTTTGGAGATTTGGGTGGATTCTGTACAAAATAAATTCCACTCAACAAAGATAAAATCTAATGTCTCCAAAAGTTGATTCTGTTCATCTGGACGTAGCGTTTTGTGGGAGAAACGTTTCGTCACTCATCCAGGTGACTTCTTCAGTCTCAGCTGACTGCAGGTTTCCCCAATCTTATAAACAGTACATTTGCATAATGACTGAAACCAGCCCACTGAAGGAACAATGGGCTGGGAGGTCAGTTCCTTAATCTTAATTATGCTAATTCTCATGTCGTGAGTTCAACAGCCCAATGGCCATGAGTACCATTCACAGAGAGTTGGGGAATGGCTGCAATCACAGGATTGTAAGATGTCGAAAGATGTACAAGTCTATGCTGATGTATGCCAAATTACACAAGCTGGACTGAAAACCAGTGATAACATAAGTGATTTCCTCCTTACAACAGTGAGTGTCTACAGTCATCTGTAAAACACAGTGGAGGCTCTGTCACGGTTTGGGGCTGCGTTTCAGTCACTGGTGTTGGAGATCTTGTAAAAATTGATGGAATTATGAACACAGAAAAGTACCATCAGATTTTGATTCCCCATGCTGTAGTATCTGGAAAAATTCTTATTGGTAACTGCTTCATTTATCAACCTGAAAATGACTCTAAACACACTGCCAATGCAGTGAAAGCATACACGGAGAGAAAAACACATAATGAAAGGCTGTCAGTGATTGGTTGGCCTGAAGAAATCCAAAGTGTAAAGTCTAAAGTGTGCGTTGGCTTTGAATGTCCTTGAAGAAACGTAATCTGATCACTGAGCTCATTTTATATGACCCCAACCTGTTAGCCTTTAAGATAATAAGTGTGGTAAAAATAACTTTCATTTTATCTTTTGCCCCATAAAAATATACCCTTTGCCTCCTTCGTAATTACTACAGATATTACTGTAGAGGGTTTCGCCTCTCTGACATAATTGTGATGTGATGATCTGAAGAGTTATAGGAATTTACTTGGTAGCTATACAAAAAAATGTAGTTAAAACTACAATATGTCTCTATGAAAAGTAGAGAGCAACTTTCTCTTCACCTAACAGTACAAAGTCCTGCACAGCCATCCTTCATCCTTCGCTGATGTATAACTTGGATGTGGTCCAAGAACAAATTATCTTCTGTATGTTTGCATTGTTCCCTGGAAAAGATCCAACAATCATAATCCAGGCTGGAATTGCATTTCCTGAAAAACGTAACTAAGAACGCAAACTGCATAATAATGAAACTGACTAGAAGATGGGGTTAATATTCACACATCCCACATCATAGTTTTCATGTTTAATGAAAACTAATTTTCGCTCAGGGGTTCCACAAGGATCCTTTCTCAGACATTTGCTTTTTTAAATAATTGCTTTTGCTTGGCGAGTTTATAGACAGTACAATTTAACACCTTTATTCTAGTGACTTATTTCATCATGTCGCATTATTTTTCAACTACAAAGTTATATTTTTATTACACATTCTCCTCAGGTCAGAGGTCATCGAGTTAGAACTGAAGTGGCACTTTTGTTTACACAGCTTTTATGTTATTCGATCTTTTCGAGCAGCTGCTGTCATCAGCGTACAGACTCGGTAGTCCCGATAGTTTTAAATCATTATATAGAGACCTTTACCTCACTGGGGGTGGCTGTGCATCAGGAGGCAGACCAGGAAGTCTTCTAATTGGAAGGTTGGTGGTTTGATCCCTGGTTGCTTCAGTCTGCATGCCAAATATCTTTGGGCAAGATACTAACTGCAGGAATGTTAGAAAGCACTTGAGCATAGAAAAAATGGTTCAGGTAAAGGAGGCGTTTAGGTTGAGTAAAAAAACTGCTATATAAGAACTCATTCTCAAAATGCTTTAAAGCGTCAAATATTAGATTTGAAGTGAGGCAGCCAAAGTTGCTACAGCCTCCATTTGAATCCTCAATATGCATATTATCTTGCTAAACATTCCCAATCACTTCGATGCCAATTAGTTTCATCCTGTTTTTGTTTAACAAAAGAATTCTTAGTTGGTGGCTTCTTTCAAATACAGGTCAGTTTAACCTCTCTGCACTTTTTTCTTCTTTCATTTGCTAAACAAGCCCTTTTGTTACATTTGTTTGTGAAGTTCTGCACTGATATTTGGATGAATCGTGTTTACACTCAAACAAAAAATGTAAGAAATTACTTTTCTGGTCATTTCATTTATTTGTTTGTTTAGTTTCTTGGCTCTTGGGTGATATGGATCACGGAGCCTGTTAGAGTTTCTTGTCCACCTACTTGTTCACCCCTTTGGGCTTTTGAGCGTCCAAACTTTCAGTCAACAATGAGCTGAAATGAATATCCACTGCTCACTTTAAAGACTTGAAAATACAAAGAAGCCTCATGTGTGAATATCATTCTGGAAACACACACCAATTTCTTTTTCTTTTTTCTTTTCTCTCTTTTTCCTCGACTGTTTTGTTAAAGAACAAAAACAAGAGGCCTCGGCAAAAGTCAAACCCCGGTTATCCCTCCAGCAAATCACTTCTGTGGCTCACAGTGAGATGCAGAAACCATTTATAAATTCTACTTGCGGTGCATTAAAGCACTTAATGGTTTGTCTTGCTAGCACGCTTGCGCTGCTTAAACCCAATCCAATAATAGCAGATGACATACAACTGAGAAGAGAGCACAGATCTGCTGAGGAAGCTCTTGGCTCATGTAGCCGAGCAGCATTTAAAACTAGATTTCCTTTTTTCCTCTTTCCTTTTCCCCCATTTAAAAAACATATATCTTGCTCTGACACACTGGGCCCAGGTGTTGCCAGTATCATCGGTACCTGCAGATGAGAAGGAAAGCAGGGCATAGTGGGCCATCACATCTCCCCATCTGCATTGTGCCTTCAGAGATGCCTCTGCATACAACACCAACAAGAAGAACTGATTCTCACTGTATATTTCCTCCTTTTTAGACCGTTTACTACAAAGCCTAAACTTTTCAGTAGCCATGCTACATTGAAAGTCACTTAAATTGCATTTCTAGCTCATTCTGATCCCCGATTTGCTTGCATAACTTTTCAAAACTTTCCAAGAAAACTGGAAATTCAAGAATATCAAAAATTTCAAGAGTACACTTGACATATTGCTCTCTAGAATGTAGTAAACTTTTGAGGTTCACACATGATCATCAACAGTGGGCCTTTTTCACCGGCTCAGAAAAAGTGAAACTCTCCCATCGCTGCATTTGTTTTGCATTTGTTGTACAGTTGCTAGTCACTGTGGGGGGAAAAAACACTGGCAGCTTTGACTCTTTCACGCCAAATTGTGTTAAGGACATGCTGCTGTGCTATAGTGACGGTGTGTTTTCAGAAACAGTTGGCTGGACAGCTCGCCAAGCTGAGCAAACAGGAGGCAGTGACCACGATTTACCCAGCTCTGTAGCCTCTGTATTTAGTCTTTCCAGCCACCACTGCTAGCAAGTGCCTCAAAGATAAGGTGAAGAAGCAAGTAAAAACAACGCAAAGACCTCGTATGTGACGTGCTGAACATTTTCGGGTAAGTGTAACTCTGTAGAAACAGTTGCTATGGCTCCCTCTTTTTTTGCAAGTTTTCCTCAAAAATACATAGTAAAGTAGATACAACACGAGGCGAAATCAAGGGAAAAGTTAATGATTATCGAGTACTAATAGGAAAATTGTATGGAAAATATCAATACCAGATTAATTTGTAACATGATTATGTAATTCCGTTCTTGCCTGTGAGAGAAAAAAAGGAATTCGGCCACAACAGGTGCCTTGCAGATGACCTTCCCTTCTCTTAAAGATAGCCTGTTTTTGATGTTACCACTTGCTTTATTACATTATAGATTATCTGACATCCTCACAACTACTTTCTTCTATAAAGGGCTTGGCTGCAGTCATATCACATATTATATTAAGACACTCAGGTGAAGTTAAAAACACAGACAGGACTAAAACGTCATAAGCTGGCCTATACTGCTTTGCCTGCCCACACTCCTAGCACCTTAGCTTTACTATCACACAGGAAGCGCACACCAATTACATCTCCTTGGAAAGTATTGATAATCCTGTACATGTTGCAACACTATCCTCCATTGACCTCTGGTAACATGCTATTATATGTGGGAGGGCTGGAAATGACTGGGTGGGTGATAACAGGGTCATAAAAGTAGCTGTCTGAATATAACCGATGGGAGGCAGAAGGGAAGCAAGGCATCAGTGACACCCTCTCAGGTGAGTAAGTCGGTTTTTCTCTTGAGGTTTTCTTAAATCTTTTGGATTCATTCATAGACTGCTGTGGCATCGGGGTAAATACTCTTATTACCGTTGATGTGACCACAAATACTCGCTTGAGAGTTTTTGTGTTTTTTATAACTGTATTTACAAATTAGTGATTTCTTGGTGATATCGAGCCATGACATGGAAATTCATTTAGGCTCAATTGGCATTTATTTAAAAATATATTTTTTATTATTTTTGCCTTGTATAATACATTATACCCACATATTATTGATGACTGAGTTTGATTGAAGTTACTCTTATCTGTCTCACATGATAAATGCAGGATTCATGATTTTCTGTCTGCAAGTGAGAGATTTTAGAGAAATTAACTCACCGTCATGTTTGTGCTTTTATGTTTTTCATGCAGCTTTTGACCTGAGGAGTCTCTTTGACTACGTCAATTTATTTCAAAGCACAATGAAGCTGAGTCTTGTTCTATCGGCTTTTTGCCTTCTTACCACAGGTAAAAAAAATTACAATACATAAACCTTTAAAAATGATCCTTTTAGAAAAGGGAAGACAAAACCTTTTTTTAAAGAGAGTGTGAAGAGAATAACTAAAGATTATCAATTAACTGTTATTCACACACAAAGCATCACAACAAGATTATCTTAAAAACATCTCTGGCCACTTTGCCCTCAAATGGAAGCTGACTGAAATATTCGGCATATATACATCAAATAACTTTGTTTAATTCATAGTTTATGATTTTTTTTTAAAGTTGAAAAAGTTTTTATGGTTAATTTCGGCCACATCTATATCTAGACTGACCTTTCATTTTTTGTGTGAAGGATGATCTGTTTCATGGTGTTAGCATAGAATCTAATCATAGTTGTAGCGTACCATCGTAGCGAATTTTAATGGTGGTGGACCAAAGTTAAAGCATTTCCCGGTAATCAAAGGGAAGGTTGATGGGAGGCCATGTAGACAGAGTAGGAAATGTTGAAATTCTTGAAAGGGTTAGGCCTTCGGGGGGGGGGGGGTTTCAATAGCGTCATTAGAGCAAAGGTTGAGTTTATTATCTATGACATTCTCCCATTAAGAATGCAAAGCTGTTAATAAGTACTGAACTCTATTATCTTGATATTGGACAATAAATGTCAACGGCTGAAATTTGAGATCTTTAATCTGGAAACATTTTTAATAAATTTTAGACAATGTTTTGTTTAAAAGAAAACGTGTTAAGGCAGAAGTTGTGATTAGTTTCTGTGAGCATCACAGGAACAGAGGTTTGTTAACCTTTTGGGAAACCTTTGTATGATCTTGCCTTTTAACCCTTTTCGATCTTCCTGTCAGTATTTCTGTGTGGAGGAGAGAACATTATATCAACTAGCATCGCACCAAAAACCACTGCCTCAACTAACGTATTCAGCACGACCACAGACAGCCCATCCAGCACGACCACAGACAGCCCATCCAGTACGACCACAGACGGCGCATCCAACACCACCACAGACGCCGCATCCAACACCACCACCATTATCCCCACCATTATAACTAATTCTACTGAATCAGTTCCTACAACTGAGATTGTTAAGGAATCCAATTCAGGGCTTTCACCGGGCGCTATAGCGGGCATCACCATCGGCTCCATTGCCGGTGTGGGAGCAGTCGGTCAGTACTACACACGAGCATGAATTTACCATCATTTCTGCTTCCTCTATCACATATCATCTGTTATTCATTAACCAGGATGGCATTGGGGATGAGCCATAGCAACCGAGAATATTATTTACAGATACAGGAGCCCATTGGCACGAAAATATGCAAATATAGAAGGAAATAAGTTGTGAAAATTATGAAAATGTATTAGTGATAGTTGTAAAGGATTACAATATTCTTAGGAAAGAAATTGGTTCTCTAAGATAAATGACATGATAGAAAATAATAATTGAGACTTTTGTTACAGTGTTTCACAATTTTGAGTATTTAATTAGTAATTTCTCGACTAGTCTTGGACTCATATTTGTTTTTGCGAGACATTAATAAATGAATAATAGTTAATCCATTTTTATTGCAGGTGGTGGTATCTTCGGTTTATTGAAGTACACAGGGAAGATCTAAGACCAGCTGTTGCACAATAAGGATCGAAGTGGATGTAGAGCGTCAGATGAAACATGTCCTATCCTGAGATCAGACTTAATCCTGACCATGCTGAGTGGATTGAGTAAGGCCTAAATGTCTGAATGGCTCAAGAAGGAATAAACTGATATATGTATAGTATATGTATATTCAAGATTATGATCTCATGGGCCAAGAGGAAGACATAATAATGTCTGTTTCACCACTTTGCTATTTTGATTGCTTGACTGATGGCCAGAAAATAATCCTTAGCTGATCAAAACATTTACATAATAGTATGAAATGTATTTATATTTTATCTGATATGTGTATCTTATTGACAGATACTACTCATCTAGTGGGTTAAATGTATTTAATTTTATGAGTTAATCTTCCTAATGTCCTTCACATTTGATGTTTTGTTTCAGTATAAAGGGTAGACTGTTTAACTATAAAAAAGGTTTTTTGTATAGAAACAAGAATACATAAGCTTTTGTGTTCATTTATAAAGGTAAAAAATCTTTGTAAGTGAATACCGATATTTCCTTTAAGCTAAATAATTAAATTTTATTGATAACATTTTCTTAAGATTAATTTGGCATTTTGCTCAAATACTGTAATTTCCTAGTGAAAAGCTTTGCAATCACTATGTTGTAAATAAATAAATAAATATAAAAATATAATCTGCTTTCTATAGCTGTCAAATAAAAGTGTTGCTTGAGCCATCTAGGCTATTGATTTATACACATACTTCCTTTAGTAGCTGAGTTATTTGCTTAATTTATGAGTTTATGACTTTTCCACCCATAGGCTTGGTGCTTCAGTTTATGGTACAATGATGGTTAGGATTGAGAACAACAGTCTATCAGTGAAAACAGATTGAGAAAATAATGTTTTGTTTGGGACTAGCTAAGTTTTTTGCAAGCTTTCAAACACCTAGCGTTTCCTCAATAATCTGGGTCTTGCATTGTTTGGTTTTATGCAGTTTTGTCTCTGAGACACTTGCCCAGCTCATGCTAGCTTGATGAAAAAGAATTTAATCTTTTACATATAACAAATACAGTCAAACACAAAAAACAATGAAACTGACATGAAATATATAACGTTCTAGTGTTAGCTAACACTATAGTGTTAGCTAGCGACCAGCAAATGTAGCACTTTTTTGTGAAAATCTACAAGAAGAAAAGAAAACTAAAAGTAATCAAACTGTACTTGAAGTAAATCCAAAATGCCAACTATGACAATTATGTGCCCAAAACTTTGGTGTGAAACGGTTGATGCCATACTCATGGTTATGGTAGGGTGACCAACTGTCCTCTTTTCCCTGGACATGTCCACTTTTCACGTTCTGTCCGGGCCATCTGGGAGGAGTTTTGAGATTGATGAAAATATCCGGGTTTTTCTATAGGCCTACCCATATGTGTGACGTCATCCTGAGCTGCTGCTTCGTGAGTGGTTGTTCTGTGCTCACAGACGGGACAGACAGCGCGCTGCTGTGCGCCTGATGATGTTTAAAAGATGCCAAAGCGCAAGTGAAGCATTTCAGATCAACTGCAAAAGAAATTTCCTCGTAAAGTCCCAGTACTGGTAAAAAAAAAAAAATTTATACAGATGAGGCCTTATTTCTGTACCATTATTTAATTTGAGGGGTTTTTAAGTTAATTTTTAGCACTTGTTTACTTGAAAAAGCCCATATGACATTTTTTATTTCAACATTCATTAACCGCACAGAGAAGGCATAGTTTAAATATGTTAACATTTTCTTTAAGCAAACAGTATCATTAAAGTTCTTCATGACTGGTCCAAGTGTCCTCTTTTTGGAAATTAAAATATGGTCACCCTAGGAAGATAGTCAGTGGGTACTGTTAATACCAGTACTTTCTCAGATAAACATTAGCAAAAAGGCTGGAAATGGGTGAAATACAGCCTAGAAAATTATGCAATTAAATTGGTGCTGTCAGCGTTAATCTCGTTAAAAAGAAGTTAACGGCATAACCACATTAACGCGGCAAATCTCAGTTAGCGAGTTAATGCGGATCGCCCCGTGCGTGGGGCTGCCCGGCGTTAGCGCGGTTAGCTTGTTAACACGTTAGTGCCGTGCAGTCCCACGTTAACTGTTAACGTCATTTTAAAAAAAATTAACGCTGACAGCACTAAATTAAGTAGAAAATTCTGTTTATTTAATCTACAGAAACACTAATTTAAAAAAAGACTTTTTGAATAAAACAGGTTTTTAACATGTTTGAATTTTCCCTACAGTCAACTGAGGACATAAAAACTAACTCAGCAGATTTTATTTTATTTACTTAACATTTATTTAACCAGGATACTGTCCTGGATAAGATAGATAGCAGTACAAACTATGATGGTCGCACACACTAGGAATACAAACGCACGCACATATAGACACACCAATCCTCATGTGAAATAGTCCAGTAAAATACAGGAACGACATCACTGTCTGTCTGAGGCTAACAAACAGGGAAGGCAAAAGTTACGTTACTACCACCAGGTCATTTAAAATCACCTTAAATTAATTTGGTTTAATTTAGTGGTGTACAAGACATAAATAAGTTGGTGAGTTATGTCAGGCTTAAAGCCACCATGATAACTTCTGCTGAAAGCAAAACTGGAGCAGGTTATGTTCAGAGCTTTAGTTTAAAATCATCTGGAGGAGCCACTTTTCACCAGTTCATCATTTTACAGCAGGTTTTAAGTGTGATCTACATCCTCTGCAGGGTGACTCATGTGTGCAAGTTATTAACCCTACTTTACTAACTTCACAAATGATGTCAAGCTGTAAAGTTACAACAGCACAAACTGGAGGTGGATGTGGCCAAAGGTGCGGTCATTATAACATCAAATTAAAGCTGAATAGGCTGCTGGACTGTAACTTGTAATGTTTCAGTGTATCCACTGTAAAGTTTTAGAGCTCTAATGTGAACCGTACATCACTTCAAAAATAAGCAGCAGCACTGAGTGCTCATTCGGCAATAAAGGTAATTTCAATTAGAATATTTATTTTACTGCTCTATGTGCCAGGTTAACGATTTTGTGGAGCATTACCCCTGCAGTTTTTGTGTGTTCTAGTTTACAATCATATTTTTATATTCCTTATAGATATTTTATCACTACCATTATCGGATAATCTCTCTGAATTGGACTGGGTGTCACTCATAGGGATCATTTTGCGAGGAAGAAGAGTCACATAAAAAACCACACGAGTGTGTACACTGCCTGAAACAGATTAAAAGAGAACGTTAATAATGACTACCATCGCTATGCCCATTATCTCAAGCTGGGGTTTTTAGGCCGGCTAACAAAAGAAAGCCAAGCAATATTTAACTGTTTCTAGTATCTCTCGGCTCCCTAAGATTTAAGCAAATCTGCTTTTTCCAAATTCAGCACGAACTTTCAGGACAGTGAGGTACTATTCAAGCAAGAATAGTTGTCTTTAGCTAGTCTCAAAAGAGAGAGGACGAGAGTACAAAGTAAAAACACAGTTATGTTATTCACCAACTGCTAAATGTTTAATGCAACAAAGGGAGAGTCATCATTTACAGCTGCTCAGTATTTTTATTGAGATCTTGACTCAGCCTCAGAGTCATGGACTGTAGTGATACAGTTTCAGCTTTAAAAAGTCAACATGATAATCCTCTCTGCTAGATTTACTCATTTTACCTCTGCGCACCAAGTGCAGATCGTCCATATCATAGCTTATAATCAGCTACGGATATGTTCTGGTAAAACCAAACTGGAGATCGTTCCACGTTTCAACATAAAGTTAGTAGATCTTTAACTAGCACTGGGGTCAGATAGTGCTCCCACTACCACTTTGAACACTTAATGTGAAGTTAATATTCAACATTCAAAGGGTTATTTATTGTTAAAGAATTACTTACAATAAGGTCATTATAAACATTACTTATAAGCTGACCCCAAAGTAGACACTGATGAAAGCTGCTTAATCTAAAGCAATGGTCTTGATATAGGTTGAGGTGACCGGTGGGCCAAACTCCCACAGTGTGAGGTCTGCATTGTAAAGTGGACTTTAGCCCAGGTGACAGTTTCATCATTTTATGGTATGGTCATTTGCTATGGAAGTGTCAACACTGGGAGTGCTTGGTAACAACATCTAAAACAACATTTCTCCCCATGCAGGCAAATAGCTGTTAATACCCTGAGCTGTGTGATCAGCCCATATGGTGAGCATGGGCGCCAAAGGAACTGCGTGTGCATGGGGGAGGGGAGTGTCCTGCCTGTGTGTGTATGAAAGTGGAAAGGACATTTTTTACTGACTATGGGCTTATGTAATGTTGTGTTATATTATGGGCTCGTTTTTCTGACAAGCAGCCTCTCAAATTTTATAAATAACCAAACAACCAAAGAAAATCATCATTCCCACAGATGTCACTGGCATATCATCAAGTAGATCTGTAAGGGTTGATTTAGAATTATTTATTTTTCTCGTTTTGATCCTCCATCTAAACCGGGGTTGCAAACATATGGACTGGGGCAGCCAAAACTGGCCTGTCAAAGGGTCCAGTTTGGTCCACTGGTTGGCTTTGGAAAATGTGAAAACTGCAAATGAGGAGGGAATAAATTATGGACTTTAAACAGTGTTTTCTGCAGTTCTACAAGGACATGATCCACAGTAGTAATAGATACACAGTAAATGACAGAAATAGAGATGTTTTTCTTGTTATTATTCCATTAAAATAGTAACAGAAAAGATACTGTTTTTTCAACTTGCTAATATCAGGCTAGCAGTACTCTACAGTACCAGCAGAGGGAGATCTTTTATTTCAAGCCGACATTAAAATGATAAAAGGATCAAAGGACAGCCTTTAAAGAGACATTAATAACACATTTACATGTAAATACATATTAGCCAACTAACTTAACCGTTTCTGGCATCAGAGGACCCTGGAATGTACTTCATATCCTTGGTCACTGTTGACTTCTTGGCTTTAAATACTGTATATTATCTCCCCCTACTTATACTACAGCATCTGCATGTGTGTCCATTTCACACTTTGGAGATGTCAGTGTGTCTATTTGACGTTTTGCCGTGATATCGATATCAATAACTGGGGAGATTGTACCAGATACAGTAGAAATAAACACGCAACCTGCAAACAACACACCAAATCCTAATCGCTGTTCCTTTCATTCATATCCCAGATGAGCCCCCACATTTGTTACCGGTCCCGAAACTCACACCTCTAGACCTCTTCGTGGGGATGTGACAGAATGTCCAACTGACAATGACCCCCGACATTTTTCTTAATTTCTATTGTCTAATTTTGGTGAACTTGTGTGAATTGTATACTCAGATTCCTTGTGGTGCCTGGTGTGGTCTTCTGCGGCTTCTTCTCTGGTAATAACAAGACATTTACGAGAACAGAGAACTGGTGCTGACTGGATATTTTGTATATATTTTTTAAAAATCATCTTTCTTCACCATTGCTCAATTTGAACTCCGGGCCATCGTGACCATGTCTTTATTCCTAAATGCATGGCTTGCACAGCTGATTAGATATTTGCGATAATGAGCAAC